ATAACAATGAAAATACATCCTGCATATCAGATATTTACATTACGATTCATAATAGTAGCAACATTACAGTTATGAAGTAGCAACCAAAATAATTTTATGGTTGGGGGTCACCACAACATGAGGAACTGTATTAAAGAGTCACGGCATTAGGAAGGTTGAGAACCACTGATATAGACAGACAGGAGGTTAACTGCTGTTTAGGTCTGGAGTTTGAGGGGACTGTAAGTAGGTATAGGATTTCTTTTGGGGGGGTGATGAAAATGTTCTAAAATTGATTGTGGTGATGGTTGCACAACTCTGATTATAGTAAAAACCATTGGACTGAATACTTTAAATGGGTGAATTGTACGGTATGTGAATTGTATCTCAATGGAGCTGTTAAAAAATCAAAGGAAAATGTTTAGAAATGGTTTTGCTACATTTTTAATTTGTTGTTTCTGTTATTCTAAAAATAAACATTTAAAAGGAGTTGATTAAAAAGCTTCATTTTCTAGAAACATGCATCTGTAATCTCTCTATATAAAACCCTAAGCGACCTGTCAACCATTCGACCAGTTGATCATTTGACCGGTCGTTATAACGTGCACTGACCACCAGGGGACAAATGCTCAACGCAGGAGCTGCCTGCTGGTGGTCAGTGCACTCCCACAGTGGGCGTGGCTGCAGTGGTGCGAGTGTCTCCTGCCTCCGCAGCAGCGCTACTGAGCTGCGATGGCTGCAGACACAGGGGGGCTGGGATGAGCAGGAGTGGTGCAGCGCCTGGCTCGGGCCGAGGCTCCTCCCTGGCCGCCTGCCACTTCACGCACTACTACATCCCTCGGGGGATGTTGGACTGCCGACATCCGACAGTCTGACATCCCCCCGAGGAGTCCCGGACTGCAAGAGGGCACAGACCCCACTGGTGCACGAATGCGTGCACTGGGCCTCTAGTAAATAATATTATAGTAGTTGGCTGCTTCCACTTTCAGGTAAAATAAATACATTCGTTGACCAAAAAAAAGAGGAACAAGAGGAAGCTATTTTTTCAAAAGGTTCTCTAGACTGCATCTAGACATATAATTAAAATTAAAATCAATGAAAGGACATCACTTCAAATACCCAAGAGACATACACATCCAGAACCGCAAAAAATGTTTATGCCTTTTGATTATTAATCCCATTCCTGGGAATTGAGCTTAAGAAAATCATAATGGCCACAAAACCATTTCTAACAGAACTATTATAACACAAACATCTAAATCAGTGCTACCTAAGAGTGTCTGCTACTGCTTTAAGTCTCTAAGCAAACTGTTCAGTCTCACTGAGATTTTCATAGTGACACGTTCTCAATGAAGGGAGCACATCACTGACTTACAGAACCAAAGTGTAAAAAATAAAGACATGACTGGTAACCTATGATATAACTCAATGAAATACTGTATGAACATAAAGTAGACTAACAACAGCCAACAATCATTCAGCTCTTGCCATGTGCCTGGAACTGTACAAAGTGAGTTACATACATTACCTCTTTTTTTTTCCAGGTATCCTTAGGTCCTATTATCTTTTTTTGCAGATTAGTAAATAAAGCTCAGAGAGGTTAAAGGACTGATCGAGGACTAACAGCAAATAGGACGTGAAATCAGGCACGTATGACTCCAAATCTTGATCACTATATTATACTGCCTCCATGAAATGGAATATAAACTGTGATTACAACTAAGTATACATGTGGATAAAAAGTTAAAGGAAGAAAAATGGAAAGAAATCGTAGGATGGTGAGACCAAGAATAAATTTTTAAATGCCTTTTTTTGCCCAGCCGGTGTGGCTCAGTGGTTGAGCATTGACCTATGAACCAGAAGGTCACAGTTCGACTCCCGGTCAGGGCACATGCCTGGGTTTTGGGCTCAATCCCCTGTGGGGGGCATGCAGGAGGCAGCTGATCAATGATTCTCTCTCATCATTGATGTCCCTGTCTCTCTCTCGCTCTCTCTCCCTTCCTCTCTGAAATCAGTAAAAAATATATTTTTTAAAAAAGAGCTACAAACCTTCTAAGGAGGTTAAATAGTTATACGTTAAAATATCTACTGATAATATCAGCTATCTGGGTATCTCCAGTCAAAACTGATTAAATTATGCTAAATCCTTGAACTGTTGCGAGGGTGTAGGAAATTAGTCTTGCTAAGCAAACTAACAAATTTAGATTATAGAACAATCATAACTACTAAAAAGAAACCATTCAAACAGTAGACAGTATCATAGGCAAGGAATCTCTGTATCTCAGCTGACAATTAGCTTCCAGTAGTAAGAATAAGGAAGTTTGGTTTCAGACTCTCTAGAATTATTTGACCCTAATCAAGTAACCTATTATCATTTTTGCCCACATTCACGTGGACTGTGTCATGAAACATACCTATGTTTCTGACCATGATTCCTTTCAGCTCATCCACTTGGGCTTGGGTCTCCATCACTTTGTCTAGGCCCTTGTTTTCAGAATGATGCTTCTATAAGAAAATAATATTAAACTTAAGGTACCCAGACATTATTTATAATAGGAAAACAAAAAGAAGAGGAATGACAATGAGAGTACTATAAAATTATGTGTCTATTGATATAAAAAACATGTCAATTCATTTAAACGTTGTTACCAGACCTAGGAAAAATCCTATATAATAAAAGGCTAATATGCAAATTGTCCCCTTGATCAGGAGTTCCACTGGGCATTCAACCAGGGGGAATTCCACCAGGGGGTGGGGCCAGCCAGCCAACTGCTCGTGGCCCCTCCCCCCAGTCAGCCCCGCCCCCAGCTGGACCCCCAACCCCAATCAGGGCGAGCCAGCTGGACCCCACCCATGCATGAATTTGTGCACCAGGCCTCTAGTATAAACATAAAAATGCTACCAAATGAAATATGTGTTATAGTATAAAAATGCCACCTTACTTTAAATGAATTAAAGCTAAATATATTATAATATATCAAATATACATCTGAGACTCCTGGAACAGAAGTAGGGGGTTCAGACTAGGAAGAAAGAAGAACAGAAGACTATAGTTGAGGCAAGGGGGACAGGACAGGGAAAGGGTACACTAAATTGTTCCCCACTACTTGGGTATGATGAGATTGGAGATGGCCCAGCTTCTAGGCATCTGTTCTTATACTGTTGGGATCAAGTTATGCATCCTATTTTGATTGGCTTTTTATAGGAGCTAGAAATGTAAGATACTGATAACAGTATATATTTTGAAATTATTATCCATAGCGAACAATTATTGAGTGCTTGATATACAATATTCCAGTCACTTAACTGTGCTAAATGCTGAAAGTAGGGGTATTATTTAACTTGCTCAAAAACTCTATGATGAAGACGCTATCATTATTATAGCTATTTACAGGTAACTATTCAAAGGGTCACACACACAGAACTGGAGCTAATGACAACCACCTAAGTTGAAAGTTTGCTGCCAGCTTCCCTTGTTTATTTTTGTCTGTGCATTAGTATGTTTTCTGTTGGTGACATTTTACATAGTTTCACATATATGAATGTTTCCTAGTGGGAAGTCTAAAACAAATCAACTGATTGAATAATAAAGATTTATAACTATTTAAAGGAACTTCATCCCTAGAACAATGCATATTTAGCAGTATAATACTCAAAAAGAGCATTACAGCCTGGCTGGCGTGGCTCAGTGGCTGAGCGTCCACCTAAGAACGAGGAATCCTTGGTCAGTCCCCAGTAGGGGCACATGCCCGGGTTGTGGGCTCGATCCCCAATGTGGGCAGTGTAGGAGGCAGCCAATCAGTGATTCTCTCTCATCATTGATGTTTCTATCTCTCTCTCTTTCTCTATAAAATCAATAAAAATATTTTTAAAAGCCTCACATTGAGCAAAACAAGAAAAAGAATACATAATATATTGTTCCGTGTATAGGAAATTTTAGAAAAGACAAAACTATAGTGAAAGAAAATAGAGCAGTGTTGCCTGAGGCAGAGTGAGGGAGAGGACTGACTGCAAAGGGACGGTGAGGGAACTTTTAGATGTTTTTCTATCTGAAAAGGGTGCTATTTCACAGGTGTATACATATGTAAAACGTCACTGAGCCCACAATTAGGCATGCCTACAGATAAACAGACTTTCAAAGGACTGCTCTGAGTTTTTCAAAAATTAAATTTGTCTCATGGGGTCGTAGAAGGTCACTGAATAGGGTGAGAGGCCATTTGGCATGTTGAATGGATTTATGCGTTATGTGTAGTTTAAGTAGATGATCCTTAATGGCCTTCTCAATCCTGAGATACTCTGACTATTATTAACAGAGAATATCACCAACTATTAGCTTTCTACCCTAAAATGACCCCTTTTTGTGAGACAAATTGTATTATGGTGGCATATAATAACATAATCAGAAAACTGTATTGCAGGTCAGGGTCCTCTATATTCACGGTGCTTTGAGGTAATAAAGATATGAATAAAAATACTAATCGTGAGAAAGATCTTACCAGCTGTGCAGCCAAGACACTTGAGAATTCACTATTCATGGCATAAGGCAGTGCTGTCTGCGCTCTTGAACCATAGGTAGTCTGGAACCGCTTCTTTATCTCATTCAGAAAATTAAAGGCCCGGGAACGTTCAAAATCCTGAAGAGAGACCAACACAGAGTTCAAAAGTAAACAAAAGATGACATAGATGATTAACAACCATAAGAACAGCTAACATTTACTGAGCAATGATTCCATGAGGAAGAACTAACACTGACCTCATTTTACAGATAAGGAAACAAAGTCTCGGGAAAGGTAACTAACTAGCCAAAGGTCAGATAACTGGTAAATGAATGAGCCGAGAGTCCACTCCAAACATGTTTGATTACTGCCAAGTGAAGATAACAGGAACTAGGTGAGCTTCTTGAGAGCAGGAATTGGGGTTTACTTCCTCCATATCTTTCACAGGATCTTTTAGATGGCCCAGCTCAAGGTGTTTAATAAACCCATAATAACAGTAGAGTCATTCATAACAAAGATAACACTACTAAGATAAACTTTGAATTGATTTTTTTTTCTAATAGTGGTGATACATTTGAAAAGATCAAATGACGTCCTCTTGTCTAGTCCCAGCTAGTCAAAAAGTATTTATATAATATATAAAGACTTACACACACAAAGACACACACAGACACACAGAGACACACACACACACAATTATAGCTCAATAAATGTAAGACTTAGCTCTGAGAAATTTAGTGATATTTCTCATCTACTCCAAGTCCTTTCACATGTCATTTCAGATACAGCTGGATTTTTCAAAATAATTTTTAAAAGTACTGTGAGACCAGGGATAAAAATCACTGTGGTGACCACTGTGGCTGACACTTATCTCCACTTCACCAGTTGATTAATCTAAGCCCAGGGTTCTTACACTGGGGTCAGTGGTCCCAATTCAAGGGGCCTATGTATTTAGATAGAAAAAAAACTACACTGTTATTTTCACCAATCTTTAACTTATATTTCAATTTTGAATGTAGGGAACAAACCAGAGTAGTATCATTAGATGGTACCTGCCACCAACAGAAATCTTTTTTCCCCCCATATACTATCAGTTCTAAACATGTCCAAATATTGTTATAATAATAAAATTATCATTATTAGTTGTTAGACCCATGGCTAGATCTTGAATTCATAAAGAAGCACATACCTTAAAACCTGTGAATACTGTCTTTCAATATTCTTGGTTTATAGTCATGTACTTTATTTCATATTTTAAAACATTCTGGGCGGGGCCCATGAATGTCAGAGGGGATCTGTGACACAATAAAAGCTAACACTCATGTCAATTCCATGTCTCTAGTCAGTGATCAATTTATAAATAAGTATGTAGCCTAGTCCTAGCCAATGCTGCATGAAAGGAAGTCTGCTCTGAAAGCAGGGGGAGGGGAGAATGTGCTTTTGGGAAAAAGCTTCCTCATTCCTACAATAAGAGACTGGAGAAAACCTAGTCCCCAGCCTCTGGGAACAAATAAGTAAGCGTGTGGCTACATGCAGGCGTAGGGGGATGGGGACTGTGTCTAGGGAGGAGCTGACACTAAATCAGAGACAAAGGACCTTGAGAACATCAAGTTACTGAGCACAGAATTTACAAATACTCAAAAGCAACCTGCCAATGTGAACTACAGCCGATCACAGTGTCTTGTGATTTCCCCAAAGTTCACATACATTACAAAAAAAATTCACTAACTATTAATTGGAGGGGTGAAATAGTTTAATTTACTATTTCAGATAAATTTTGAGAATATTTGACACCAAAGAGTCATAATTATGAACACCAATTCTCACTACACAATAGGATAAATGTAGAAGTTGCAAGGAGTTAAGCTAAAACTCTACCAGAACCAAGCTGATTTGCATATAACCAGATATCAACTCTGCTTGTCATTTGCTGCTTGCTCTATATGATAAATGTAAAGTATAGAAAAAAATTTCCAGCTATGGACAGTTATATCCATGTCACCTTTACCCACCATAAATATAGATAATTAAGACGAAGAAATGACTCTATTAACAGTACACACAATTAAATAGCAATATGTCCTCAAGTTACTTACATCATCAGTAATACAAAGGTATATAATCCTGTCTTGGCAGATGTAATGAAACAAGTAACTGTAGGATAAAAGATATAAAAGTTATGTGGTTATGAGTAATATCTCTTTCTCTTTTGCCTTTTTCTATGTATAAGCAAAATCGTACTGCTAATGTGACCATATTA